TCCTGACATTCTTCACCTGCAAAGTATGTGTATCTGTCAATACAATGGGTTTTGAAAACTAATGTGCTAAAAAAATTAATATACTTCGGTGGCCATAAATGTCAGGTTTTTGCTTTGCTTTTTTTTTAATTTTATTTTCTAAGATATTATTGGCTATTACTCTGAACCTTCATTTGAAAATGGAAAGGACCAAAGGTTGCTCTTTTCTCATTCCCCATTTGAGTCTGGTAACAGCCACACACAACATAGACTGGAGGGATCCTGAAGATACTTTTTGCTTCTGCCACTGCCTGTGATTCATCAGAATTCATTCAGCAGCCCAGAGAGACCTGCTAAGAGGTGCACTGCGAAGTGCTGCTCATAAAGTCACCTACTGTCTATGCAGGTTCAGTTCATTCAGGCACAGACCATTTTCTCTTGCCTCTGCTCACAGTTTCTATCTCAAAAACCATTTGATTCTCCTCCCTGGTAACAAGGCAGTGGTATGCAGCCTGTTTTTCACTTCCATCACTTCTCACCACACACTCTCTGCACTGAATCACTGATATGTAGACATTACTGATTCTACTTTCATGACATCCCATGTTTGCAGGCAAAATTCAGTCAAAATTATTCGTTATTATCATAACAGGGAGGATTTTTTTTTCATCTCCTGGCTGTAATTTGATACTATTCACCTCCATTTTACAGAAAATTAAGTAAAGGAATCATTGTGCACCAGAATATTTTACTACAGCTTTTGTTTCTAAAAAGATCCACAAATATTTTATCTTAATATTTTATATTAAGATAAATGTAGTGAATAAGAACAGAAAGCACTCATAACAAGTGTACCCTTATGCTTCTGTGGATATTGGTGTGTACAAATGAGGAAGATCTGTATTTGTTTCTTCATCAGTTCCATATATTGGACTGGCTGTTGTAAGTTTTGAGCATGTCTTTCAGCAATGGTGTGAATTCTCCTTGGTTAGAAATCATCCAGCAAAACTTGAAGACAGTAAACTGTGAGGGAATGTTGGAGTGGTAAAAAGAAGTGGATGCATGTACAGTGAGTAAGACAACACCTTGCAGGGATAACACAGTGCTTTCCCAGTGGGAGGGATGTCCACCTGAAGAAATCCTTCATTCCAGTAACCAAACATTGTGGGTTAACAGTGCAGCAGCATCAGCTCCTGGCACTGCAGCCTGGCATCCCACTGATTTATTGAGTCTGTCTGAAGTTGAGCTTTACTTGAGGGAATTCTCCTTCACATTCCCTTCATCAGCTGCAGCCAGATCAGAGTCTGCAGTGGATGTGGGATTGTGCATGAACACAGGCTGGTGTACAGCTGCACTGCCATCCTCCAGGAACAGCTTTTCCTGGGATGCCTTGAGCTGTGTGTGAACTTGCTGGCCATGACCAGCAGTGTATGATAGCTACTGGCCTTTCCATCCACACCTGTTTGGAATGACAGGAAAAAAACAGAGGATTTTTGGAATGCTGACTGGAGGGAGGCTATGCCCTGTCTGTGTTTCCCACAAGCCCAGCATCAACACACAGCACAGCTCCTTGTGGTTAATAATTCTGAGGAAGTCAGAAGCCTCACAGTGATCCAGTCATCCTCCCTTGCAATATTAAAATTTCTCCATCCATAAACAGAGAAGCCAGTAATCTGATTATGAACTGGTTTGAATTAGAAATTGAGTTCACTCATGTCAATAGCTGCCAACTTATGCAAGTGCAGAATTAGGCCCTTGGTATGTGGAACAGCAGTAAGAGTAAATTTTATATACTTACACAAAGGAGAAAAGAAAGCAAACAGCTATAGAAAAGCATGTCATGAAGTATATATAATTACCAATATACACATTACTTTTTTATTTCTTAGAATGGTGATTATACAATTCATGTAATGTGACCAAAAAAAAAGAAGAAAGGGCTGTGGGGAGTTGTTGTTTTTTTTTAAGAACATAAAGCTTAGAAAGCAAGAGGCAGGAAACTATGTGGCCATGGACCTGTGTTGGGAGTTTATAACAGCAGGTTACTGCAGGAGCTTGAATAGTGATCAGGAACCTCTGGGGAACAGCATCTCCAGCAGCAGTTCTGCTGCCCATGGCCACTGGCTGCATTTGACAGTGGGGCAGGCAGGATTTTCTGTCAGAAAACCTATCACTTAAACTTTCTGGATAACTTAATCAGTTTTCCTGGCTGATCATGTTGATTTCTTTACTCATTTTGAATAGTTCAGGAAGGAGGCTCATTCAATGCGCTGAGGGGCTGCTCCAACACTGGCAGGTACCACCTGCTCCACTGCAACATGTAACAGAGGCATCTGCTCACAGCTTTACTATTCTCCAGCATACTTCTGTGATCACTCAGTTATTTAATTGCACCCTAAAGGCACTGAAATTTTTGAAAACCTCCTTGCAGGGCTAAAGTGGATACTCACACTAGCAGTCAGCATCCAGGGTGAACTGCGTTTTGCCAAGCAGCCAGTTCCCAAAGGTTACGCCTGTGGAGGATTAACAGCCACACTGAGGAACCAGAGGGATGGTAGGGAATGACATTACTGAAGAAACGAGCAGTGGTGCTCTGGAGGATTTCAGTCAGCACGTTGTGGAATCCCACTCTATCGATTTGCTTTGCTTCTGAGATATTTTGTAATGACAAATGATGCACTTCTAGAGACTTTACAACTCCAGCCCTTGTTAAGTTTATCCTCTAATTAGGCTCCATAATCAGCAAACTTTATACTTTCTAGGAATAGATATCTTAAAATTTGTGGAAGTTCATTTAAAAACAATGCCAGCAAATTATTGATCTTCTCTCTGTCTTTGGCAGTATTTTAATCCAAGCTTCTTTTCCTTTGTTTTTATAAGGAAGAGATTTTTGTGTTAGCCTAAAGCTGGTTCCAGGGCTTGCATGGAAGATCAGCCACTGTGAAGCACAAAAAAAAATAATCAAGGACAAAAACTTTACACAGAGTTCTCATAGGAGTTTACAAGAATCTGCAGGTACTTAGTCAGACTAAAAATACTACTTCATTCTTCTGTCTTAAAGTAGTTCCTATGTGAGATTGTTAAACACAAATATATTTAAAGATGAAGAAAAATGTCTTTGAGTCTTCCAGGCTACCTCTGCTTGCTCAAGCTCCTGGTAACAAATAACTTAAAGTCATAATTTTCCTTTCAGAACATATATTTGGGCAGAGTATGGTGAAAGTTAGCCTGTTAGCCCTTTTCCCAAACAGCCATTTACACATTCCCCCCTCCTCCATGCCAACCAAAGAAACTTTGAGTTGAATCATGTCTCATTTTTATGTGAGGTCTTTTTTTTTCCCATCTATATCCATTAAGTTTCATTCCTGCCTGCATATGATAGAGGGAGGTGAAAGGGCACTGCTGAGCCCCTGATATGCTTGCTAAATGTGTTTTTTATTGCTCAAAATCCAATAAATCTGATAAGGTGAAAGAGGCTAATGTGAGCAAGTCCTGCAGGCTAGAGGCCAGCCTGGATGCCTCACTTGTGGTGCCCAGAGATGATCCTGCCTGAGCCACGAGGGACCCTCTTGTGCCTTTACTCTACATTTGGCTTCCTAGGGAAATTTTTCTTGTTGTCACTGCAGTAAACATTTCTGACTGCTCTCCTCCCTCTGGAGGGGGTGTTTGTACTCAGGACTGGTTCCCATACAGAGCTGCCTTGGCAGTTTTCTGCAGACTGAGCAGATCAGACTTTTCCTCATCAGCTCAATCTCTTTTACCATCCATTTGCAGCAGCACCTGCCTTTGAATCTGAGTTAAGATGTGCAAAATGAATTCTGACTATGGAACACTGTGTTTGAGATGATTTAAAGCAGATTTTCTTCAGACATCTGAAGTCATATTGAGTTTACAAGCACAGCTGAAGGTCCCCATAGTCCTCTGGGAGCATGTGTTGAGCTGTGAGCACTCAGACTTCTCCCTTTGCCTGTCCTTTCCTTTCAGAGTGGGATGAACCTTTGACTTGCCCCTCCAGGCCTGAATCCTGGTGCCTCTGGGCAGGTGCTTGGAGGAAACCAATGCCTGTATAGAGTTTCTTCACACCACTCTAAGCACAGCTTGAAGTTTTTAGCAAAACTTTTGTTTTCTTGCATTGCTATTTTTGGAAATGTGCTTTGTACTGGTTCTTCAAATTACCTAAAAAAATGGGTGGGTGTAGGAAGGAAAACGAGACAGAACCATAGAGCAAGGTAAACCTGAGGCCTGAATATTTGAAAGTCATTTTATTTCTGAGCAATAGCTTCCTATGCTGGGATTATAACTTTTGATATGGTATCAAATAGTGCTCAACAGCCTCCCTCTTGAAAGAACTGATGCCTCAGAGATGCCTAAAGCTGGAGACTCATGCAAGGAGACATTCCAAACCAGCAGTTTCTTCGGGAGATTTGTGCCATGGCTTCTGGCTGCAGTCTGCCCGTGTTCTCCTTCACTTTCGCCTGACCAGACTTTACCTACCCTTGTTGCAGTTTCATGCATCACTCAAAGACACCCCAGGTGTGTGTTGTTTCACTGGTAGGTTTCTCTAAACAAAAGTCATTTAAAGATGTTATATATATACCACATTACTTGATCATTATCAGCCTGAGGTGTCACAATCTGCTCACAGAGATTACCAGTTTCCATCCCCAAATCCTGGCTTTGATACCAGATCTGGGTTGGACCCGCAGAAAGAGCATTTTTTATGTTTCTGTCAAATCCTGCTGAGGACTCTGGAGGGTACAGATTTTCAGACTGTACCACAAACAAACTCGGTGAAAGTTATTTGGGTGCAAGTCTAGTCAGAGCTGCATTTCTTCTGATCCACGGGGAAGCGTGGAGCTGTTGCAGCGCTCAGCAGAGCGCGGTGATTTCGGAAACCCCGTGAGCGCTGGCGGTGGACGCGAGGTTGATGCTTGCGCCTCGTACCTGCGTTACATAAGAACGCCCGTACCCCGGTACCGCAGCGGGCTGGAATCGCTTCAGAACCGAGGGAAGAGGCGGCTGAAGGGAACGGGGAAGAGAGAAGGGAAGAAAAAAACCCAAAAAAACAACAAACCCCACACCAAACGGAGAGCACGGAAGAAAAAGCATCCAACATAAACTTTCTGCTGCAGTCTTGCTAATTTCAGCTGAGAGCGCTGCGGGGCTCGGCTTTCTCAGCGCGGGGCTGAGCTCGCTCAGACTCTGCTCCCCGGCCCCGGGGGTGAGGTGGGAGGGCTCCACCCGCCCCGAGTCCCGGCTCGGTGCCGGTGCGGTCCCGGCTCAGCGGGGCGGTGCCGGTGCCGGTGCCGGTGCCGGGCGGGGCGGAGCGGCCCCCGCCGGGCGGAGCTGTGGCGGATCCCCGGGGGTGCGGGAGCATCGCAGCCGGAGCATCGCAGCCGGAGCCCCCCGGGCCGCTCGGAGGCGCCGGGAGGGACCCGCGGACGCCCCGTGGCCGCCCGGCGCCGCCGGCAACATGAACCAGACGGCGACCGTGTCCCACCACGTCCACTGCCACTCGTCGCGGGGCGTCAAGGTAGGGAGGGCGGCAGCGGGGGCTCCGCGGCCGCCCCCGAGCCCCTGTCCTGCCGTGCGGGCGCGGGCAGAGCTCGGCGGAGGTCGGGGCGAGGCGAGGAGGGACAACTTGGGTCCCGCCGGGCACCGGCAGCGGGAGAGCCCAGCGCGGGGCTGTGCCCAAAGTTCGCCCCGGAGGAGGTGGCGCAGGGCACGGAGCTGTGGTTGCCTCCCGAGTCTCTGCTCCGCCGTCCCGGTGCGGGGAAGGCTCTGGGCGAGGGATGCAGCGTGAAATTGGCTTGTCAGTCGTGGTTTTGCCGCTGTCCGACCGGGACGATCCAGGACGGGACGCTTTGTTTTTGCTGGTGGTGCTGTCCACACGTGTGGGAGAGTTGTGTGGATTGCTGTGGCTGGGCAGTGAGGGTGATGGTGGGGAAAGCTACGGGTTCTTTCCTTGACTACCTTCTTCCCCAGCCTCTGACACCATCCTGCCTTTGCATTGATCGAAAACTACTTTCTAGTGGAGTTACTGCACTCTACAGTGATAAAACGAAATCCCTAGCCAGATTGGTATTCAGTAGGAAGTATCTATGCAGAAATAAGTGGGTTTTTTCCCCCCCGAAATAAAATAACAATGCAATCAGTGATGATATTTGATTAGTGATTCTTAATTCTGAAAAAACCAACATCGAGAAATTTTACACCAGCTATTTTGTTTCATAAAATCATGTGAAAGCCTGAAAAGTTCACTTCAGTGCCTTGCTCTTGGTGACTCAGGCTCTCCCAGCATAGGGCTATGCACAGGTTTGTGTGGGGTGAGGAAACCTGCTGGGGCTTCACTTCCTTCACAGGAAAGTTGGAGGGTTTGGGGTTTGTTTATCTTCTCAGAAGGAGCAGCTGAACTGCACATCAGGTTCAGAAAATTGTCAGTTGGGCTTTATCCCGTTAGTGCTGGGAATAAAAATCATGACTTAGAGCTGAGGCAGGAGGGGATTAAAGGTATAAATCTTCGATTAGCACTGCCATTTTTATATAGGCTGCATTAAGCTTTGCAGTGTATAATCAGTAATGCAAAATGTCTGCAGGCTCAGGGACAAGGAGGGTTTTACCTGTGGCTCTAATGACCAGTTGTGTAACACAGAACTGTATCCATCACACCATAACCGGCTGGTTAGTTCATGCTCAAATGGGCAAGGTCATGGGAAGTGATGAATTACAATTGCCCTGGCCTACTTCAAAGACTCAGCAAATATAATATTAAATTTCTTAAAACCATTTCATCCTCTCTAGGTCTGTCTCTGAAAGTACCAGAGAACAGAGAGCAGCCTGGTACTTGCTCTGGGAAGTATTCCTTTCTTATGTTTGGGACAGCCAATGCTAATTTTTCACTGACAGCAACGTTTATTAAGTTCATTTAACTGAGCTTTTAAGCCAAAACAACAACAACCACCACCAATATCAATATGCTATTAAAAAAAAAAAAAGAAAAAAAAAAGACCCAGACGAGTCAATAGTCTTCAAAAAGAGAGAACATGAATCAGAGCTCATTCTAGACATGAGTCCATTCTACAATCAACACAGTAATACTGATGTGATTAGAAAACTGTCTCATTTTTCTGCTCTTAATTCAATGTGTCAGGTGTAAAATCTGCTTTAAAAATAGTTTCAAGTGCTTCAGTGCTGAGTCAATGGATATTCCATGAGAAAGTATTTATGACTGTAGAGGAGAAGTAACTGCCCTATGGTAATGAGGACCTCAAATTGGAAATTACTTCAAAAAACCTTCGTTAGTGACCAGACAAATATAAGTTGCATATTAATCACAACTCGCCAAGAAAAAGTTTTTGTTCCAGCAATTATGAAGGCTCAAGAAAAAGGTTACAGGAAAACTTCACACCTACTGGAATGAGATCTTGAAAGCCCCTTCTTTTTTCTCTTGTTCTTTTACTTTTATTTCTCCCCAACAAACAAACCTCTGGCATCTCAGCTCCTGCGTTACAATCAATGTGATGTTACTTCTCTGTGGTTTTTGGATCAGCTACTCAGTGCTCTGTAACACTGCACAAACTTCCGAATTCACAGAACAAGAAGCAGAAGGATCCGCTTGTCTGGTAAATTGAATCCCACAAACTTTATCCGTGATAATTCCTGCTCTGAATCACCCTGGGGCTGCAGCAGGGCTGGTGCCCAGACACAGGGAAGCCCTGTCCCTTTCTTGTGTTCTTTGTTGAGGGAAGGGTACAACATTTTGCATCCATGAGTACTGGGAACCGAGTGCACTGCATCCAGTGTAGGTTTGGTGACAGAGAAACAAGTGGACAGAGGAAAATTAATATCAAGCAACAAAAAAAGCCCAGAGATACCTTGGATAGCCCTTGGATAAAATGTAAAATCTCCTAATAAAGCCTTGTAAAGATTACAAAGATTACAAATCTTCCCACATGGTGACATTACTATGAATAATGATCTTTCACTCTGAGATCTGCAACAAAAACTCCTAGGGTTTAGCTGGGATTGCCAAATACCTGCTTCATTTCTCAATTGTTACAGCCTCCTCTCCAGGATCTTGCCCAGGGCAACAAATCTGGTTTTATTCTTCACACTTTTGACTCATCTTTTCACCACAGCAAGTAAATTAGCTCTTCCAGGAGAATCACTTCCATGTTGCGTTGATGACCAAATGACTTTTTACCATTCTTTTTCCCCTGACAGAGAAAATTCTGTTAAAACATTGTTTGCTTTGCTTGGAGGGAAAAAAGTAAAAAACATCCCACACACCAGAAATAGAAAATAATAATTATCTTGGCTGGCTAGGATCTGCCAAAACAAACCAAACATTTGTCTTCAAGCCAAACATTTGTACTGAATTTACGGGGAATGCAAAATAGAAATGTTTATGTCTTGCTCTTAACACAATCAGGTCTACACTTTGCTCTTATTAAAAAAAAAAAAAAAGTGGAGTAAAGCTAATATTTCTGTGGCTTTCTACGTTCTTTAATAATAAAACATTCTCTACTAGATCATGACTCTCTGCTGTTATCAACCTAATATTGATCTGACTGTGAGCTGGATCAGGGAAGGAGTTACTAATTGGCATTTCAGAGGCACATAATTACTGTGTAATATAATATGTATGTTATAACCTTTTACTTTTCTTTCCTGCCTTCCTTTCACTTTTATTTATTCATTAGCTTTTAGACTGTAAACTACAAAAGGTCAGTGAAGAAATGTCCTTAGCAAAAATTCTGCAGCAAATTTCATCCGTGTCCAGGGACTTTACCAGGAATTTTTACATTTCAGGTTTATTGTAGTAGTGTTTTAGCACTTACTAATTGATGAATAGTGGTGTACTAATAGTTTTCTTATTTACAGTTAGGTCGAGGAGCACATAATTTAAGGGGGGTTGTAGTGTTCCCTTTGGACTTATAGGTGTGCTTACAGCAGCTAAGGTTTTTTCACCAAACCCGCACCTTAGCAGGGAACATCTGCCCTCTCCTGCAAACTGCTGTACACCCATCTCCTCCTAAAGAGAGAGAGATGCTCATATTTAGCTGTTCCTGTTCATAAAGGCTGCTCAGTCACACTTTTTGGGTCGAAACCTCAGGTAGTTGGATCTTTAAATGCCCACAGGGCATGCCCAAACCAGGCCTTGTGCAGATAGGAGAATCATTTGAATCTACCAGCTGTTTAGGAAATAAATCCCTTAAAACGAGAGCTGCATTTCTGAAATTCATTACATCAAAAGCAAGTCACTAACAGATAATCTCAGTGAGTGTTCAGTTATGAATTAGCCAGAATAATACGTAATGAAGGGCACAAGAAATACAGGGTTGTGTCACTGTTAGGAAAATAGTACATGAAAGCAAAACAAAACAAAACAAGAAAAAATGATACGTTTAAAACTAATGAGTTTGCATGGTATTTTGTTTAAGGCAGTAGAAATCTGAGCCATGCTGTGCAATGTGCAAACATATTTATATTGCCTCGTGGGGAGCCCCAGCTCTGGGGAAGCAGAGTGGTGGTGGCAGGAGGCAGACTGGCGATGGGGACACATGTCACTGTCACACTGCTGAATGTGAGCAGCTCAAAGTGCACATATAGAACAAACTAAATATTTTTATTTTTGATTTTCCTGAACGCTGAGCACATGTGCAATACCCTTGTGTTTATTCTTTTCTTGAGACTCTCTCTGGAGGTGCACAGTGACCTGTTAGAGGACTCAAAAAGCTGTCCAAAAAGATTATGGCAATCATCAAAGTGACTGGCTTGGAGCTTGATAGAAAAGCCTTGAGTGTTGTTCTCTGGAAATGTTTTTGGCTCTTTTGCATCCTCATCGTCTGCAATTGCTTTTCTTCTATTCTGACAAACTGTTTTTGATCACATCTGAGGGGAGCTGCTGATGTGCTTTGTTGATATTCTACAGACCAAATATATATGGTGACATATACGTATGTATGGGGAGAACAAGCTGGAGCTCTCCAAGTGGAAATTTGAAAAACTGATCACAACTTGTAAATCTTGCCATTGTAAATCTTGCCATTTCCACATATATTTATGTGTTGTTTCAACCTGCTTGACAGTGTTTGTGCTACCAGAGAATAACCAGTGCCTTTTCTTTTTAAAAACAGTCCTTCCTTCATCATAAGAAGAGGCAGTCACAAATAAAAAGCTTATGGAATGAGAAAAAACCTCAATATTTGAAATACTTACTTTTCCCCTTTCAATCTATAAAGAAACAATTGGTCTGTGTCAAAGGTAATGTCAGGATTGTTAACTAGTTAAAAAAACCCAAACCCAACCAAACAAAAAAGAGTGAAAAAGGGAAAGAGAGGTGGTGTCCAATCCCAAGTTGATGCTGTAAGGGGCAGCAGAGTCACCACAGGTTTAGGTCTCAGACACAGAGTGTCCCAGCAGCAATTGCCCAGCACTGCAGCTGAGATGGAAGCAATTGGGGTCTCTCCTTGCAGGGGAACTCAGTTCTACTGCCTGCTGTGACCTTGCTGATGGGGTGTGTTTTTCGGC